ACCATGCTGGAAAGCCCACACCCTGGGAACAAAATTCCAAGGAAATTAAGTGACATAGGTCATGAGTCTACCCTCTGAAAAATCAGGAGAGACCCAGGCTCTTCAGAAATGGAAGACTATTGTCAGAAAGATGGCAAATACTCAGGAAGCTACAGTCCTTGTTTCTCAGATATGGAAGTCTTTGAAGTTCACTCACAAGTTTTGCAGTTTTCTTCGGCTCAGTGAAACAGATGTGTTGTGTGCCTGCTCTCACACTTCCCACAGGAAGGCAGGACACCTAGGCTGAGAGATCTCTGTGATGGAAGCATTCCGTCTCTCTGTGTTCCCTAAAACTCAGTGTGTGGTCCTTCAGCCCAGCACAGAGACTCATCACCCTATCATGGTAGTCAGAAGCCTGGACTTTCCTAAACTGCAGCACTTTTAGAATGTGGTGCTGGCTGCAAGGGAATATAAATAAAAGATAAAAATATCTATCTGGGTTCCCTGAGGGACAAGCCTGACTGCATAGGGGTTGATGTCAAAAGTATCCCCTCTCCAGGAAAAAGACATCGGGACGGGTATGGCCCTCATGCCTCACTGGACAACAACAGGGGGACTGGCGCCATTACAAGGTCCCCTTCAAATACTGGAGGTCAGGTCTCTATCCCCGCCTTCGCAAGTTTAGAATTGCTACAGCCCTTCTATACTTAAAGAAGGGAGGAGATGTCAGGGGCAGCCCTGCTTACACACTGTAGGCCTAAAATCAGCCATAGGCCTAAAATCAGCAATAGGCCTGTCATACATGTATACTAACACCAAATCTTAGGTCTCAGTGGAAAAACATTGAAACAGATGGCTATAAGCTAATGTCAACAGGCAGCTTTTGTGGAAATTTATAAGCCTGAGTAGTCATAGACCTTGTAAATAGGTAGCCTTGGCAGACAATACCAATTTAGATAAGGACAAGCTAGTCATACGCAGAGTCATAGTGAATTGTCCCCTGAACCTTCACCTAGCAGATACCCAGTTCTGAAGATATCTGTATTCCCCCTGAACACCCACACTCCAGTGTCATCCCCTTCCCCACATCCTGCCTTTCTGTGTTTATAACCCCTATGTGAATTAATTATGATTTGAGGGCGAAAAAAGCACCTGATTTTGCTAATAAAAAAAAAATAATAATGTGGTGCTGGATCACATCCTTGAGGCAGCTAGACCTCTCACACCTGAAGCCCACTTTCTATGTTCCCCAAGCCTCCTGCTGTCAGCTATATACAATGTAACAAGCCTCCCAAGCCTCCCAGAGTGATTTCTCGGGAAGATGGCTAGTGCAGAGGCTGCTTGAGCTTTAAAGTGATACCTAAGGGAGCTTGGTTAGTATGAGAGGCCATGAAGGCACATCCTACGTATGCACAAGGGTGGGATGCTGACATAGTGTCACTCAGCATGTCCTGTGCCTGCATAGGATCTGCCCAAGACAGCATATGGGCTGAATGCATAGGTAAACTGAATAACAGAGCTGTGGAAGGACACTTTCCATCTCTGCTTTTTGCTTGCTTTTATGGATGCTGTATACCCAGATTATGAATGCTACTGTAGCGATTCTGGTAGAATACTCCAACCATGTCCTCACAAAAGGGCATTCAGGATACACAGGAACTAAGTATCCAGCTCAGCTTCCCCATGAAGGCATCCAGGCAGCAATGTCAGACTTCACAGGGCTCAGCACACTCTGCCTGTCCAATGGAATTATAGGGAGCCATTGAGTTGGTCCCTTTGTGCTTCGATCATGGTCACCTGCCAGACACTAGGTTTCTAAGTAAGGTGTCTATCTGAATACATTCCTCATAAACAACAGCTCCACAAGCCCCCTTTCACCCAGGCTGCACCCACAGTCTCTTACTGATTGTTGCTAGTCCGTTGCATCAGATACCACCTAGGCATTCTCCAACAGGATTTCTTCCTGAGGTGGTAAGCCAAGGATTGGGGTTTAATCCAGCTGGAGTAGAAATACATCTGACTATCCTAAGAGACCCCAAAAATGTACACTTTTCTGATTTTTCCAGTGAGGAGACATGAATAGAAACATAGAAAGTAAATTACAAAGCAGAGATGTCCCCTCCCATACCTGCTTACCCTTTATTGTGTTCTGCCTCCTGCCTCTTTCAGGGGAGCCACTTCCTTGGAGGATGTATGCTGGGTCTTTTTCTTTCGAGCACAGGGGAAACAGCAAAGCCTTGATAGGCACGCCCTGATTCTCTTAGTGACTCTCTTAAAGCGCCCGGTCTTCTTAGGAGGCGATGGTGTTTTTATGTCAAACTCTTGCTCAGGTGGCACATTCAATTCATCCTCCTCTATGATGTTACAGACACTTGGGGCAGCCACAGCTCCGTAATAGAGGGCACAGGTGGAAGTGCTGCTGGTCTTATTCTCTGGATATTCTAGAGAAATGGGAGGCATGGAGACACTTCTGGCCACATTGTGTTGAGATCGTGTCAGGGCAACAGGCACTTGCTTTCTTGAGGGCTGGATGTGGAGGAGGCTAAAGTTGGGCTCACTGGCCCTTTTCTTTAGGGGAAGCCCAGAGGTAGAGGGATGTGCTGGTAAAGGGGGTGGTGTAGGGCACTGATCAGCAGTTTCAAACGAAGCAGTAGAAGTATCCTCATGCCTCTTCTCTACCTGGGCTTTAATAATTAAATATGCCGCCATGGGTTCGTTGTATATTTTGTTGTGCAGTGATTCTATAATCTCATTTGCATCAAATCCCATGCCACAGAGCCTGTCTATGATGTTGTAATCTGGATTGATCTCAGTTGGAATGTCTACCTCACACTTTACCACCCATGGATGTTTCTCAATGTTTTCTATGGAGGGCCTCATCTCTGGGGAAACTGTGAGCAATTGATGGATTAGGTTTTCTAGTTGCCCAGGGACATGAGATGGAATGTCATAGGTCCCTGTTGTGATCTTCTCTTCCACCTCCTTCACCGTTGTTCCCCAGAAGGGGTAGTGTCCAATAGTAATAAAATATAGTAGCACTCCCAAACTCCACACATCGGACTTCTTTCCATCATATTCCACCCTTAGTGCAATCTCTGGGGATAAACAGCTCCTAGTCCCACAGTACCGATTTAGTAATGTGCCAGGTCTGCACTTGGTGGCCAGCCCAAAGTCTATCAGTTTTACATTACCCACCTCATCCCGGAGTACATTTTGTGGTTTTATATCAAGATGGACAACATCAAGGCTGTGGCAGTATTTTACAGCTGACACTACCTGCCCGAATATTTTCCTTGCCTCCTCCTCCTTCATCGGGCCATCCTTCTTTATGATTTCATACAAGCTTCCTCCCGGAATATATTCGGTGACAAAGTTAACGTGTCTCGGTGTAACCATTACCTGGTAGAGGCAGACGATGTTAGGATGGTGCAGTGTCTCCAACGCTGTTTTTTCTGCAAGGATCCCCTTGATGTTCCTCTTGTTGAGCTCTACCGTTTTAATGGCAACCAGTGCCTCGGTTTTCACATGACAGGCCAGTTTCACAGTGCCAAATGAACCCCAGCCAAGATTAAAAAGCATCCTGTACTGACTTCCTATATTCTTCTTTTTGGAATTGCTGGCCATGAGGGTAAGTGTTCCCTGTGCTCTGGTGCACACAGGTTGTGAGGTACAACAATCCAAAACCTGACAAACTAGATAGCTATGAAGGCGTCCCACAGGTCACCAATACCAGCTCCCTGCTCTGTATGGACAAATATAACAGTCCAGTCCACAGTCTTATGCAGAGGGCCCTCATTCTTCCATCACAGTGGCTCTTTGTGAGGTCAGAGCACAAAACGCACAGAGCAGAGAAGGTTGTTTAGCAATTACAGGCGACAGAGTACCTGAGTGGCCTTTGTAAGCTGGATGATGACTATGTCAGACCATCCATCTGGCCTTTTAAGGAAGAGGTTCATTTTAGACAAGTGTTCTGCAGAGAGAGGCCAAGTCATCACAAAATGTAACTGGGAGCTTTTCTACCCAGCCTCCTTGTTCCCAGAATAGGACTCTAAGACTTATTCATGAAAAAATGCCTAGGCCATAAGCTTTGGCCAATTCCCCACACAGCTTGTAATTTATATAACTTGTTTATTCTAGTCTGTGTCTGACACATGGATGGTTATCTCTCCTGAGATTCATGTTTCTGTCTTCCTCAGAGTTCAAGGTCAATCTGTAGGTCTTCACTGTTTCTCAGTCTCCTCTCTCTCCCTCCCTCCCTCCCTCCCTCCCTCCCTCCCTCCCTCTCTACCCTCTCTCTCTCTCTCTCTTTTTTTCTCTCTCTCTCTCTCTTCCTGATGTCCCACCCTTTATTTCTAGCCTTGCTTGGCCATCACCTTTTTATTGACAGGTGATGCTTATACACAGTACCAAAGAGATTCCCTTTATATTCATCTCCCCACTGCCCATAGTCTAACTAAATGGCCATCTCTAACATTAGTAAACTACAATGCAGAGTAACAACTATGAAAACCAGCAGTCAGAATTACATCCACAGTGTTCATTCTCTCTGCATTGGGCCACACTGGAAAAAAAAGTACTCTATAATCAGAGCTATCTGGCGATTGAGTTTGAGTTTCTATACATAAATCATGTTCTATCAAAATATACATTCATAAACTTGAGAATATCTCCTTGGACCTTATAACATTTTCTCAAATCCTAAACTATTTAAGCTGAAATATGAGACTATAACTACCTGGTCTTCAATCCCATCAGATACCTGAGAAGTCAAATGGCCTTCTGAATCTACAGTAATGACAGAGACAGCTGGCTTCCCAGACAGTCAGCAAATGTGTTTATGAGACTTTGGAGCATCCATCTTGAACATTCTGGCCCAAAATATCTGAGAGACTTTTCTATGAAGCAGGAATTGTGAAGGACTCCTTACTTGTCCTGGAAGAGCTTGGCCATTGACTTCCCTGTCTCTTATTTATCCCCAGCTTGGACAGCATTCTGTCTGCAGTTTAGGCAAGCACAATTTCTTGCCTCTTGTCTAGCTTGTCACGTTTGAAGTAAACTCCATATATATAGGTTCTTCAGTGCTCATTGTCTTCTTTGAAGTAGGGTCAGGGTGCTACCAGGAACAGACACGTCTCACTTTAAGAGCCTTTGGTTAATAAAACCTCTTTAAATGCCATATTCTGTAGATGTTTGAGGGTTTTTTGAATATCCACCATATTACTTTTATTATGTTTAGATATGTGCCTTGAATTCCTGATCACACCAAGACTTTTAACATGAAGGGGTGTTGGATTTTGTTAAAGGCTATTTCAGCATCTAATGAGATGATCTTGTGATTTTTTTTCCTTTGAGTTTGTTTATATACTGGATTACATAGATGGATT